ACGAGATTCACCTGCTGTGCATTCATAATGAGCCCACTTATAACAGATTGTACACTGGATACAGAATTACTAAACAGGTCTCCACATAGAATACACTCAAAAGGAAAGACTGCCTATGGTTAAATCGAAAAGTCCGGCATTGAAATAATTTTTTACTTGCATCATTTAAAGCTGAGGATGGGTAGTCGTTAAATCGGAAAACACGGTTTTAAATTACTATTATTCACCTTGTTAATTATTCATTCAATACTTACTCTGAAGTGTGGTTAACTATGACTGTCTTCGAAATCTGGCAAAGTTGGATTGTGACATTTATGCATTAATTACCTAACATTACGAATTACTCAAAGCGTTTATAACTATTTCTAATTCCAACTAGTGCTATCAATGCCAGCTTCCTCAAAACTTTCACCCAACCCCGACACCTATTGACCAAACATGTAGCATACAAGTACGAGAGTAAGGAAAAAATAAACAAACACGCGTATATTAAAACCAAATTAAACATATTTCTGTAAAGTAACATTCTTATAGCACTATAAATATAATCAGCTGAAATTTGCATCTTGAAGGAATTATGTAAAGGTTCACGAGATTTAAAAAAGTAGAGAAACAAAATGCTTAGTAACTGTGTACAATTTTCTCATTACCGAATGCTAGTTTAAAATATTTAATAAATTACATAATATGATACCAAAGAGGTAACAGTGACCTTTATGAATCTATTAAAATGTATTGTTTTAAGATATTTTAATTTTAATATGTTTAAATGTTTGAAAAACATTTTAAATTTTTCGGTTTTGATTAACTACAACTATTAAATCAGTGGTCCGTTACTAAAGTATTAATACTTAGAACTATAAAAAAATCTATTATAAATTTTTTTAAAGAAATACTTTGGGGATTAAGACTCCTCACAAACATACTAAAATAAAAGTAATTGAAGGGAATAGATGTCAAAAAAACATGTAGGTGCAAGAATTCTGAATATAACACGATAAAAACCGTATAACCCAAGCGCTTTCGAAACTGAAGGTAAACTGAAGAAGAAAGGTCCACTTTTCGTAAGCGCCCGGGGTTATAGGTTTTGTATTGTTTTACATTAAGGGGTAATAGAGGTTGGGTATACGTAATACGTAAATAACCAGCGCGTGTACTTGTTTATTGTTAAGCACAAAGCTACACAATGGACTATCTGCACTCTGCCCAATGCTGGTATCGAAACCTGATTTTTATCGTTATAAGAGGAGGGCTAATCAGTGCAACTGTTATGTTTATGACAAGAATATTTTACTGTAACAATAAAATGAGTTTATCAAGTTTTACTTGTGTAGGTCAAATTAATCTGAAGATATAACAAAAAGAAACACATCAGTGGAATCTTGTTTTCGCTCTTCTAATAACAAGAAAAAAACAACCTACGACTGAGACTTGTTGAAATTTTCTCTCTGCCATGGCTGTAATGATGAAAATGAAACCTCACTTCTAAGGAAAACTTGACTTTAAGAGGGGCCAACATAGTCTAGTGGTCAGCGTGCCAGGCTACACATCCATATACCGCTGAAAATGCCCTGATCTTTAAGCTGAGGTGTGCTATAACTGTGACGGTCAATTGATTATTCGAGTTGATTAGAGTAGCCATATAGACAGCAGGTGGTACTGACTACTGAACTATATCTAATTGGAAGGAGAATGACACAAACCCTGAAATGGGCGAAGCTGAGGGAAAGTATCGCTTAAAAAACAATGGCGTGATGCTTCTTTTATAACGGTTCAGTGGTAATGACAGGTTGTCCTCCCTCTGGTCAACATTAGGGACTGATATGCTCGAACCTTGGGGTCTTGAGTCTAAACGTTTAGCTCGTGTCATATAAGTTACCAATTAGCTTAAAATTACCAACATACCAACTTTCAGAGCTATGTACATATCTACTAAATGTCAAGTATCTAAGTCCAGTAAACGCCATAGTCCATTTATTATGAAGTTGGTTAGTTAAATAACCATATAAATTTAATTTCTAACAATGAAACAACAGCAAATTTAATTACTTTTTTTCTCACGCATTCATAAAGTAGATTAAGAGTATATGAAATAATAATTGGCACTCCTGGTAATCAAATGCCTTAAGGTTTTGTAAGATTAATTTCGTTTAGTTTTAGGACTATTGTTATAACTATGGTTTTACTAGTAGTGACCCACAAAACATTTCCGGCCAAATTAGTATTTTTTTCTTAACAGTACTTCTTTAAATATAACATTTGTAGCACAATACAGACGAATTGTAATCGTAGACAACGAAATATGTAAATTCACTTGTATATAGACGGTACTTTAGAAAACTTTAACTTATGTTAGGCCTAAGTTCGATAAAGAGATAAATTAACACTGTAACCTGTTTACGTTTTGTTTTTTACTTTAGTTTAGTTAGGACTAAACTTTACTGTACTTAATACTATAGATAATTAAACTTATAATGTTATTCTACGACCTAACGTCAAACCTTGTTTAACACGTTGATAAGTTTTTAATATTCTGTTGCACAAAATGGTTAGTAAAGTAAATTTACATTCCCCTTTTGTTGTTACTTCTTGTTTCATACAGCAATTGTAGCGACTTACTGATCACTGAGCTTTGCAACTCTCTGCTGCAGGCAGACTGTTTGTCGTCGAGTGAATAATGAGCATGCGCAGTTTTTCTTGGGGAAACATTCTAACTACGCATGCTTATGCAGCAGGTTCTCGGTCAGAAAGCGTAACAGTCGCACATACAAACAAGCAGAATAATAGTATAGATGCATTCTCTGGTTAAGACGTCACTAACCCATTAAGCCAGGTGTTGATCCGACGATTAAACAAGATTTTCTTGTACTGTTAAAACTAATAAGATATTTTTTGCGTTTATTGTTTTTATGTTGAATAATTTGAAATCAAATTGCTGTGAGATTCGCGTTAGAGTACTGTTATAACTCTATTGTTACAACAGCGGAAGTCACATGACGCTGATGAGTTTCTCGAATGATCGGGGAAGTCCGAGTGTGATCGAGATGCCCCCTTCGTTAGTATATAAGCCTGGCAGAAAAGCCAGCTGAGATATACACAGCGTGGTCACAAGTAAATAGACACCACCTTTTCAGAAAAAATCATATTCACATAAATTGATAAATTTATAATTTAATCAATATCTAGTAGATCTTTCTTTTGCTTCGTGGAGTTCGTTGATCCTTTGGGGCATCGTGAGAATTATCTCGGCAATTTTAGATTGTGGGATTTTCGCCCACTCTTGCTTGAAAACTTGGAGTAGATAGCTCTTCGAAGTTGGTTTTTTCGTTGTATATTGACTTGCCGGTCTAGTATGGTCCAAAGGTTTTTTATGGGGTTCATGTCAGGAGATTGGCTCGGCCAGGGCAACTTCTGAATATCATTTTCTTCCTGCCACTTTTGGGTATTTCAAGCAGTGTGAAACGGTGCTCCATCTTCCTGGAACAACGTTGTGTTCTTGTCCACG